TAATATAGATCTATACAGCGCTGACATATTCAGCAGTGTTTTGTACAGAGAACACTACTGTAAATCAGTTCACATCAGCTCTCTGTTTCCGAGGAGCTTACACTCTAATGTCTCCACCACAGTCACACACTGTTTCTATTATACATATCTATAGCTCTGACACATACCACAGTGTTGTAGCAGAGAACACTAAATCAGTACTCTAAATGTCCCACCACAACTATCACACTATTATTATTATACATTCATATGGCTCTAACACAGCAATGGGCAAACTATACGGCCACTCGGGCCGTATACGGCCCGGCGACCTTTTAATGCCGGTCCCCGCGGAGCTAGGCTCCCGCTAGCACCTCTCACAGTCCGCCCTGAAGACCGGTGTAGCATGAAATATCTGTCTCCTATGAGGATCTGTCCCCACTCGACGTATCTGCGCATGTGCCGGAGATCATCGACTCGCGCTTGCATAATGCCTGAAACTGGCACATCGCAGATACGTTCGAAGGGGGACAGATCCTCATAGGAGACAGATTTTCATGCTACACCGGAACGGCGCGGGAACACGGCGAGAGGAACGCGCGGAGCAAAGGTAAGTGAATTGACACAGGGGGGACTTGGGGACTTAAATTTAGGGGGATGAATTAATATGGGGGATAGAATTACTATGGGGGGGGGATGAATTACTATAAGGGGGATAAATTACTATATGGGGGATGAATTACTATATGGGGATGAATTACTATGGGGGATGAATTACTATATGGGGGATGAATTACTATGGGGGATGAATTACTATATGGGGGATGAATTACTATATGTGGGGATGAATTACTATGGGGGATGAAATTACTATATGGGGGATAGAATTACTATGGGGGATGAATTACTATATGGGGGATGAATTACTATGGGGATGAATTACTATATGGGGATGAATTACTATATGGGGGATGAATTACTATGGGATGAATTACTATATGGGGGATGAATTTACTATGGGGGATGAATTACTATAATGGGGGGATGAATTACTATGGGGTGAATTACTATGGGGGATGAATTACTAATAGGGGGGATGAATTACTATTGGGGATGAATTACTATATGAATTTACAAATATGGGGATGAATTACTATGGGGGATGAATTTTAATATAGGGGGGATGAATTACTATGGGGGGATGGGGATGAATTACTATGGGGGAAAAATGAATTACTAATGGGGGGATGAATGATACAAAGGGGGATGAATTACTATATGGGGGAATGAATTTTACTATATGGGGGATGAATTACTATGGGGATGAATTACTATATGGGGATGAATTACTATATGGGTGAGAGGAATAACTATGGGGGATGAATTACTATATAGGGGGATGGAATTACTATATGGGGGGAATGAATTACTATGGGGATGAATTACCTACGGTGGAATTACTATATGGGGGGATGAATTACTATTGGGGGATGAATTACTATAATGAGGGATGAATTACTATGAGGAGGAAAAAAAAAAAAAATGAATTACTATATGGGGGATGAATTACTATGGGGATGAAATTACTATACTGGGGGATGAATTACTATGGGGGGATGAATTACAAAATATATGGGGGATGAATTACAATGGGGGATGAATTACTATATGGGGGATGAATTACTATGGGGGATGAATTACTATATGGGGAATGAATTACTATGGGGGATGAATTACTATATGGGGATGAATTACTATGGGGGATGAAATACTATATGGGGGATGAAATTACTATGGGGGATGAATTACTATATGGGGGATGAATTACAATATGGGGAATGAATTACTAATGGGGGATGAATTACTATAAGGGGGGGATGAAATTACTATATGGGGGATGAATTACTATGGGGGATGAATTACTATGGGGGATGAATTACTATATGGGGGATGAATTACTATATGGGGGATGAATTACTATGGGGATGAATTACTATATGGGGGATGAATTACTATATGGGGGATGAATTACTATGGGGAAATGAATTACTATATGGGGGATTAATTACTATGGGGAGATGAATACTATGGGGGATGAATTACTATATGGGGGAATTAATTACTATGGGGGATGAATTACTATGGGGGATGAAGTTACTATAATGGGGGATGCGAAATTTTACTATGGGGGATGAATTACTATATGGGGGAATGAATAAAACTACTGGGGAATGAAGTTACTATGGGGGATGAATTACTATGGGGGGATTAATTACTAATATGGGGATGAATTACTATGGGGGATGACATTACTATAATGGGGGATTAATTACTATGCTTACTATGGGGAATAATTACTATACTTACTATGGATGACACATACACATCATTCATCTACTCTTGGTCCCGGCCCCATCGGGTCCAATATATGAACCCCATTGCGTCCCTCAAAGTCAAAAAGTTTGCCCACCCCTGCTCTAACATATTCCATAGTGCTGTACAGAGAACACTGAGTCCCCAGTCACATCAGTCTCTCGCACCAGAGGAGCTTACACTCTAATGACCCCACCACTATCACACACTATTATTATTATTTTACATTTATATAGCTCTGACATATACCACAGTGCTGTATAGGGAATACAGAGCTATTCATCCTCAGTTTTTGCACCAGAGGAGCTTACCTCCATTGTGCCACCGATATATATCATTTAAATGTCTCTTACATATACTGCAGTGCTGTACAGAAACACCAGAACCAGTCACACCAGTCCTCTGCCCCGAGGAGCTTACACTCTAATGTCCCCCACCACACAGTCACACACTGTTATTATTATACTGTATAGAGTTGCAACCCTAAGGGTAATATTTGTGGGTTTCCCATCTGCTCTCTCTACAAGTTAAGGTAAAGTTCACTCTTGTGTACTTTAGAGCGCAGTTGCAGATTGTTTCTGGATAAAATGTTCCCAGAAATGAGAGAAAGTTTGTTTTCATCCGGGATTAAACATTGTGGCGGCCTGAGGGATTTGCTGTGAGGATGAGATTCACAGATGGCGGGTATTCTTAGATTATGGAGGGAGATTTCCACTAGATGCTGGAGTGGCACAGAAATATCTTCGTTGGGGTGGGCCATTTGGACCGTCTAGAGAGAATGCTCGATATTCTGGGCATTTGTGTATTGATTGACCCTCCACCGCATTAATGAGAGTCAGCTGGACTGTGGCGTTTACATTGTAACAAAGCTCAGGAGGATTCTTCATACAGTTGTAGTTTTATTATGGAATGTCCGCTACATACTGTATTATCTAATTTTATTTCGGGGAGGCATTAATGAGAAGACGTCATGGCATGTTTACTGCCGTATGCAGGGGCGGACTGACAACTCAATGGGGCCCCGGCAATAGGGGATCATAGGGCCCCTGTGTCCTTGCCCATACTCAAAAAAGCCTATGAAAAAGGTACCAGGGGCATCTCATGAGGCCCCCTACTGACCCCGGGCCCTCGGGCAGTGCCCGAGTTTCCAAATGGTCAGTCCGCCCCTGGCCGTATGTATACAGTGGGGAAAATACTGATTTGATCCCCTGCAGACTTTGTAAGTTTTGCCCACTTACAAAGAATTAAAGGGTCTATAATTTGTATCATAGATGTATTTTAAATGATAGAGACTGAATGTCAACCAAAAATCTAGAAAAATCACGATACAAATGTTATAACTTGAGTTGCAGTTCAGTGAGTAAAATAAGTATTTGATCCCCAAGCAAAACATGACTTAGTACTTGGTCGAGAATCCCTTGTTGGCAGGCACAGAGGTAAGACATTCTTGGAGTTGGTTACCAGGTTTGCTCACATCTCAGGAGGGGATTTTAGGTCCACTCTTCTTTACAGATCTTCTCTAAATCCTAAGGATTCTTGGATGTCGCTTGGCAACTTGAAGTTTCAGCTCCCTCCATAAAGTTTCTATAAGATTAAGATCTGGAGACTGGCTAGGCCACTCCATGACCTTAATGAGTTTCTTTCTTGAGCCACTCCTTTGTTGCCTTGGTAGAGATGTTTAGGGTCATTGTCATGCTGGAAGACCCATCTTCAGTGTTCTGAGGGAAGAAGGTTCTCATCCAAGATTTTACAATGCATGGCCCTGTCCATCGGCCCCTCAATGTGGCAAAGTCAGCCTGTACCTTTAGCAGAGAAAAAGCCCCCAAAGCAAATAAAATTTCCACCTCTGTGCTTGACTGTAGTAATAGTTGTCTTAGGGTCATAGTCAGCATTTTTCTTCCTTCAAACATGGCAAGTTGAGTTAATGCTAAAGAGCTCAAATTTGGTCTCATCTTACCACAGAACCTTCTCCCCAATCCTTCTGTGAATCATTTAGATTTTTATTTGCAAATTTCAGACAGCCTGTACATGTACCTTTTTGAGGAGGGGGGCCTTGCAGGCGATGCAGGATTTCAATCCATGGTGGCATTTTGTGTTACCAATGGTTTGTTTGGTGACTGTGGTCCCAACTGCCTTGAGATCATTCGCAAGCTCCTCCCGTGTAGTTCTGGGCTGATCGCTCACTTTTCTCATGATCATCCTTACCCCATGAGGCGAAATTTTGCATGGAGCTCCAGACCGAGGGCGACTGATGGCTATTCTGTATTTTTTCCATTTGTGAATAATCGTGCTAACAATTTTTCCTTCTCACCAAGCTTCTTGGTGATGGTCTTGTAGCCCTTATCTTACTTACTGAACTGCAACTCAATTTCTAGCATTTGTACTGTGTTTTTTTTTCTGGATTTTTGGTTGATATTCTGTCTCTATCATTTAAAATATACCAATGATAAAAATTATAGACCCTTTCTTTGTAAATGGGCAAACTTACAAAATCTGCAGGGGGTCAGGTCATTATTTTCCCCCCAATATATGTACTGCTTGCTATGGAAAAAGTTATACCAGGATCATGATTCACTATATCCGCTCTCCCCCTGGACCCTGCATTCACTATATCCGGTCTCCCCAGACCCCGTATTCACTATATCTGGTCTCCCCGGACCCTGCATTCACTATATCCGGTCTCCCCGGACCCTGCATTCACTATATCCGCTCTCCCTGGACCCTGCATTCTTTATATCCGCTCTCCCTGGACCCTGCATTCTTTATATCTGGTCTCCACGGACCCTGCAATCACTATATCCGGTCTGCACGGACCCTGCATTCACTATATCCGGTCTGCATGGACCCTGCATTCACTATATCCGCTCTCCCCGGACCCTGCATTCACTATATCTGCTCTCCCTGGACCCTGCATTCTTTATATCTGCTCTCTCCGAACCCTGCCTTCTTTATATCTGCTCTCCCTGGACCCTGCATTCACTATATCTGGTCTCCCAGGATCCTGCATTCACTATATCTGATCTCCCCGGACCCTGCATTCACTATATCGGGTCTCCCACAGTACACACAACATGGAAATGCAATTATTTTTAGTAAATATAAACTGCTAAATACCTTTTTCATCATCAGCAGTATACAGCAGTCTTGTGACTTCTATCAGTGTCCAGCAGAGCACTGGTTAAAGCTTACAGGAAGTGTTTTCATTCTTGGACCTGGCACCGGCCCAATCCCTAAACTACCTTTTTCTTTGCTAATGTAGCACAATCAGTACGGGGGATAGATATTTATTTAAATTAGAAAGATTTTGATGCAAACTTTAGATCAGCCCTAAAAGTAGATGTACACCCATTCACTAAAAGCGCACAAAACTTTGACCCGCTAATGTAATTTCAAAAATACATTTCATTTTAGTAACAATCTGCAGTTTTAAAAAAAAAAAATACTTGATGATCTTGTCATGTAGGTCTTTATTTAGGTATGTTGTAGGGTAGTGGTCTCCAAACTGTGGCCCAAGGGCTGGATGATGTCCTTTGCTTGCCTTTATGCAGCCCTTGAGGCACTATTCCTCTAATTGATACAAGGCATTATTTCATCCTACTGACACCAATGGTGAGGGACCATTCTTTGCACCAACACAAACAGTGGGGCATAATTCCTCTCATTGGCAACAGCATTGGGGCCCCATTGCTTCCACTGGCACCAATAATGGGCCATAATTCCTTCCACTGATGTAAATGTTGGAACACTGTTCCTTCCACTGACATCAAAGATGGAGCACTGTTCCCCCAATGCCATCAAAGATCGAGCGATATTCCTCCCATGGGTACCAACAATGGAGTACTATTCCTGCCATGAATGATGGGGCACTTTTCCTCCCACTGACACCAATGGTGAGGGACCATTCTTTCCACCGACACCAACAGTGGGGCATAATTCCTCTCATTGACAACAGCAGTGGGGCCCCATTGCTTCCACTGGCACCAATAATGGGCCATACTTCCTTCCACTGATATAAATGTTGGAACACTGTTCCTCCCACTGATATCAAAGATGGAGCACTGTTCCCCCCAATGACATCAAAGATCGAGCGCTATTCCTCCCATGGGTGCCAACAATGGAGTACTATTCCTGCCATGAATGATGGGGCACTATTCCTCCCACTGACACCAATGGTGAGGGACCATTCTTTCAACCGACGCCAACAGTAGGGCATAATTCCTCTCATGGACACCAACAATGGGACACTATCCCTCCCACTGACCGCAATGGTGAGGTACTATTTCTCCTACTGATGACAAGGATGAGGTACTATTCCTCCCACTGACATCAACAATGGGGCACTATCCCTCCCACTGACCGCAATGGTGAGGTACTATTTCTCCTACTGATGACAAGGATGAGGTACTATTCCCCACTGACATCAACAATGGGGCACTATTCCTTCCACTGATTTCAATGAAGGGGCACTAATCCTCCTCCTTCTGGCCACAGGCATTATGTAATTTTTTTACTCTCACTGACCACCAAGCCTGAGGCATTTTTCTACTCCCACTGGCCATAGTAGGCCACTGGCCCTCCTAAGGTCTGAAGGACAGTAAACTGGCCCTTTGTTTAAAAAATTTGGGGACCCCAGTTATAGGGTGAGAACCCTCTGACCTTGTTACTCAATTGTGCCCCTGCGTTGTCACCTACTTGGAGACTACAAGTGGCCGTTCCATGAAATGGCCATGTCACCATAAGTGGAGTGCATGTAGACAAGAACTGGCTGCAAAGTGTCTGCAGAAGAACAGCACCTCTGAGATGTAACAAAGAATCAAAAATGCAAATATGTGTTTTTTTTTTAAATGACAATTTATGACACACAGAGTAGACTAAATGTTGTTGGGGTTTACTGCAGAGGCGGTCTAAGCGTAAAATGTTCAATAATTCACTTTCAGGTTAAATCTCGTATTCCGGGACCTTTTCATCCCTCTGACGTGCAGATTTAATTTGGGATATGAAATGATAACATCAGCGGTAAAAGAACAAAGCGGAATGTATTTCATGTCAGGTAGAAGCCTAAGTGCCAGAGTAAACATCTCAAACATGTTCCCTCTACGCTGCGAGTTTGATATGATGAAATCAGCCAAATCGTTCGCCCTCCTCGCTCCGTAACCTTTTCTGCTTTGTATCAACAATCCACACAGGGATTTAGGTGTTATAATAAGAACAGGGAAAGTTGGGCCTACTTAGAGGGTCCTGGCAGAATTTGGGTTGTTTCAGTCACTAAGTGCTTGCCTGGAATCAAAATAAATGGACGTGGAGTTTGTCAGATCGCTCAATCATCGAGAGGCAGCAACAAGCGAAGTGTTTCATAATAACTTTATGTCACGGGTGATGGATGCGATTCATGGGCCATGTCCTCTGGGCTTCTTCGCTAGGTGGACTATTTCCTCACAAAATAATTTTCATTGAGGGAATATGTGAGTTTGGGTGGGGTCTGTGTGGCTCTTTAAAGTCTAGAACATTGGTTTGCATCACGTTAAAATGAACCTATACTTTACCTGTCCAATTCCCCAATATGCAGAGCTTACACAGGACTACATGAGAGTGCTGGATGCCTGAACAGCCAATCACCATGCCTCATTGTCTCTTGAGAGGTGGAGAATTGACATACTTAGGAACTTGCCAGATTTTGCCCATTAATGCCAGCTTTTTGCTTACATTACCAGGTTGTTATTGGCTTAGTTCTCTGGCCTTCCAGTGATGGAGATCTAAATACTAGGTGACACTAGGCAAATTGACCTCAGCCTTCAGTCTTTCAGGGCCAAGGGAGTGGCTGGAGTGTGAAGAGGCTGGAGCTCTGGTGGTTTCTGAAGGAGAAGAGACTGCAATATGTTCCAAAAGGTCACAGAGCAAACTGGTCAAAGCCCCAAGAGGAGTCTCAGGTAGGTCTTGAGCAGGCCATATTGGGCCAGTGACATTGATGTGGAAGGGAGGGGAAACACATACCTGAAAACTTGCCAGTTCTTGCCCGGCAATGCCAGTTTTTTGCATATGTTGCCAGCTTGTATTGGCTCAGTTCTCTGGCTTTCCAGTGGTGGAGACACTATTCAGATTGACCTTGGCCTTTATTCTTTCAGGGCCAAGGGAGAGCCAGTTGAGAAGAGTATGGAGCTCTGCTGGTTTCTGGAAGAGAAGAGAGTGAACCATCTTCCAAGGGGGCATAGGGTAAGCCAGTCAAAACTCTAAAGCTGGTCTCAAGCAGGTCTTGTAAAGGCCATATTAGGTCAATGACATTGAGGAGGAAGGGAGGGATTCCCTCTGGCAATGCCAGCTTTTTGCTTATGTTACCAACTCATTATCAGCTCAGTTCTTTGGCTTTCCAGTGATGGAGGATACCTAAACAGACAAAGTGTTGCCAGGCAACACTAGACAGCAGTGGGGGCACACACACAGATTGACCTTGGTCTTCAGTCATTCAAGACCAGTCTGGAAGAAGGGGGGGGCTGGAGCTGTATTGGATTTAGGAAGAGAGTGAGACATCTCTCAAAGGTAGAAAGGGCAAGCAGGTCAAAGCTCCATGAGGAACATCAAGCAGGTCTTGAGCAGGGATGAGCTGGGTTCAGCCAAAGTCAGTCTGAATTCAGTTTGACAAAATCCATGGAAACCTGTCACATAATTGCATCCCACCCAGCAAAGCTCTGGGGTGGGGAAGTTTCTGGCATTATTGACCTAATGTGGCCATGTGGGCCATGACTATAACACTGATGTGGAAGGAAGGGGATTAAGATACCTGAGAAGTTTCTGGATTTTCTCCAACAATGCCAGTTTTTCACTTATGTTACCCACTGGGCGGAGGCACAGGTAAAGATTGTCCTTGGCTTGTAGTCATTCAGATCTATAGGAGAGCCTAGAGGCTGACCTAATCTGGCCATTATAGGCCACTGATGCCATTCTGAACTGGCCAGTGGATGTGGTCATGTGACAGCTTCTCATAAATTATGCCGAACTGGGTTTGGTTCAAACCCAGCTTTACCCTCTCTGGAGCTGAATTCAGAACACTCTTTTTTTATGGAAATTGTTGCCATCTCCCTGATCTTGCTAATTTACAGTTCAGCCATTTCCAAAAGCCATCAGGGAGTGAGTCACATCCTTGCTTCAAATAGTCGAGCTTTGGTGGGACAGTGAAAAGAAGTCAAGCTGCAGGGACTGGCATTAAACTCTGCGGTCATCTGGGATAGTGGCCACTCGTGCAATGTAGGGGGGTTTAGCAGCAAAGTCTGGAATCTGTTTTGATCAGAATGACGTTATGGGAGTCAGTTCTTGGGTGAGCATGGAATCACTGACGCTCCAAATGAGTGTTCTGGTTGGTAAAAATCCTAGTGTTTATGTATCGATGCCTGGTAACAGCAGCTGGTATTTATTGGCACCGCAGATTAGACGTGATCATGGGGAGAAAACGTCTGTGCATATCCAGAGAGGTCATTAAACTGTCAGGAGTACAAGATTCATTATTTACCAACAATCTGAGTTTCATTGATTGATGTGAACAGACTTTGTACAGTGCTAAGGAATTAGTTAGGTAATATAAACTAATAATGTTTTTCAAAAAAATACAGAATGTGTTGGTCAGACCATATCCTTCTGCTTCCCCTTCCTTCCCCTATATAACTGCTCTGAACTGCTGGAGGACTCTGCTCCTTCCTCTATCCAACACTCCTCTCCTGAAATACTCTGCTCTGCTGGAGGACTCCATTCCTTCCTCTATAACTCTCCTCTCCTGAAATACTCTGCGTTGCTGGAGGACTCCATTCCTTCCTCTATAACTCTCCTCTCCTGAAATACTCTGCACTGCTGGAGGACTCCGCTCCTTCCTCTATAACTCTCCTCTCCTGAAATACTCTGCGCTGCTGGAGGACTCCGCTCCTTCCTCTATAACTCTCCTCTCCTGAAATACTCTGCACTGCTGGAGGACTCCGCTACTTCCTCTATAACTCTCCTCTCCTGAAATACTCTGCTCTGCTGGAGGACTCCGCTCCTTCCTCTATAACTCCTCTCCTGAAATACTCTGCACTGCTGGAGGACTCCGCTCGCTCTCCTCTCCTGAAATACTCTGCTCTGCTGGAGGACTCCGCTCCTTCCTCTATAACTCTCCTCTCCTGAAATACTCTGCACTGCTGGAGGACTCCGCTCCTTCCTCTATAACTCTCCTCTCCTGAAATACTCTGCTCTGCTGGAGGACATTTTTTTATAAAGCCCCCTGCACATGCATGTGTACATATACATACATATTGATATGCAGTATCTATAACATATACTGTATAAGCATGCATTGCTATAAATGAAGCAGCTTTCTAAATATAGATCCACTTGAGAGAGTTTGATATCATTCAGGAAATAAACATTACAATGTTGCTATCATGTCTCTCTATCAGTATATGTATATTCTTTAAGAAAACTCACAAAAAGGGAAGTTTTAGACAGATTAAATATTTAAAGAGCTCCTCGTGTCCTGGAATTCTGGGGTTTTTGACGTTCCGCAGAATGTTTGCTTAGAAAGAAGCCAAGTTTTTAAATATTTGCAGACTGTTATTATCAGTAAGTTTCGTGACCCTTTTGCAAAAACAATGACGTACACTCCGATTTCACATTTCTCTGTAATTTTGTCAAAAAGTTTGCTCCAAATCTATCATTCGAAAGGAACTGTGAAGTCACCGAGGCCGCCATCCCGGCACTGCCATGTCTAGGCTCTCATTTTCACTTTTTGATTTATGTCTTGTGTTGGCTTGCCATAAAAATTTGTAAGAGCCCCTCCATGGGAGCAAAAGGCACCCAGCAACCTAACTACTACTGAAAAGTTGGGTGACCCCCTGCTCTATCAGCAAGTACAATAACACAGGACCCTCTGCTTTATTCTCCACAGCACACAGCTGGTGTATGGTGGAGAACAGCAGGCTGGGTTGCCCCCCCCCCCCCCCAAACTTATGGGCCCAGAAGCAGCTGCTCCATCTTCCCCCATATCTATTCTCTAGTTTCCTGAAAACCTGCTATGGAAGAAACATGGAGGCTGCCATAATATTAAAGCCAGAACCAGGAAGGTGGCTAGGGTGTCCAGACTGGAGCGGAACAACTAGCAGGTGGCACACTGGTGCAGAACATGGGAATGCTATAGTGGAAGGGGAGCGGGGACTGGAGATATAGGACTGAGCGATGGATGATCAGCAGAACTGGTGTCAGGGCTCCCAGGTGTGACCAGAGGTGTGTGACTGACGCAGGGAAACGCAGACTTCAGATATGTGATAAACAATATAATTTATTAACACTAACAATACAAACATAAACGCAGTGCAATACTAAACATAATACAGTGCAAACAAACCAAACCAACCACCCACAGATAACAGTACATACAAGCAAGCGTCGTCAGGCAGGCCGGGTCAATATCAATTGGGCAGGTAGGTACAGGGGGAGCAAGCGGAGATTGGTCGGGGTCACAGGCCAGGTTCAGCAGGTAGCTAGCAGCGTAGTACAGAGGGTCAGGCAGAGGGATGGTCAGGGTCACAAGCCAGGGATCAGAACAGGTAGCAGGCAGCGTAGTACAGAGGGTCAGGCAGAGGGATGGTCAGACAAGCCAGGGATCAGAACAGGTAGCAGAGAATCAGACAGGAACAGAGAGCAGGAACAGGATACAGGGCCCAAGAGAAACACAACACCAAGGCAGAGTCTGCAAGTCTGGCCATCCCTTAAATACCCCAGCATAATCAGTTCCAGGTGTTAGCTGGCTGCAAAGTTGAGTCTCTGATTGCTGGGAGCATCCGCTGGCCAGCCCTGGTACTGCAGATCAAAAGGCAGGTGAGTCCCACCATTGCTGGCTAGTCCATTCCTGACAGTACCCCCCCCTCAAGGAGCGGCCTCAGGACGCTCCAAACAGTCCTAGCTGGGCAAAATGTTCCACCGCCCGGGTCTGGTAACTGGCGGGATATCAAAGACTGGCACACCGGGCAGGACTCCGGGCAGCGGCACACCGGGCAGGACTCCGGGCAGCGGCACACCGGGCAGGGGCACACCGGGCAGAGGCACATTGGGCAAAGGCACACCGGGCAGAGGCAGAGGCACATCGGGCTGGACTCCGGGCAGAGGCACATCGGGCTGGACTCCGGGCAGAGGCACATCGGGCTGGACTCCGGGCAGAGGCACATCGGGCTGGCTCCGGGAGGCACATCGGGCTGGACTCCGGGCAGAGGCACATCGGGCTGGACTCCGGGCAGAGGCACATCGGGCAGGACTCCGGGCAGAGGCACATCGGGCAGGACTCCGGGCAGAGGCACATCGGGCAGGACTCCGGGCAGAGGCACATCGGGCAGGACTCCGGGCAGAGGCACATCGGGCTGGACTCCGGGCAGAGGCACATCGGGCTGGACTCCGGGCAGAGGCACATCGGGCTGGACTCCGGGCAGAGGCACATCGGGCAGGACTCCGGGCAGAGGCACATTGGATTACCAGGCGAAGCAGCAGGCAGCGGGCCACCGGGTGGGGCAGCAGGCATCGGGCCCCCGGGCGGGGCAGCAGGCACCGGGCCCCCGGGCGGAGCAGCAGGCACCGGGCCCCCGGGCGGAGCAGCAGGCACCGGGCCCCCGGGCGGAGCGGCAGGCAGCGGGCCCCCGGGCGGAGCGGCAGGCAGCGGGCCCCCGGGCGGGGCGGCAGGCGTCGGGCCCCCGGAAGGGGCGACAGGCGTCGGGCCCCCAGGCGGGGCGACAGGCATCGGGCCCCCAGGCGGGGTGACAGGCATCGGGCCCCCAGGCGGGGCGACAGGCATCGGGCCCCCAGGGTAGGGGCGACAGGCATTGGGCCCCCAGGCGGAGCGACAGGTCTCGGGCCCTCAGGCGGAGCGGCGGGCACCGGCCCCCAGGCGGAGTGACAGGTCTCGGGCCCCCAGGCGGGGCGACAGGCATCGGGCCCCCAGGCGGGGGACAGGCATCGGGCCCCCAGGCGGGGCGACAGGCATCGGGCCCCCAGGCGGAGCGACAGGTCTCGGGCCCTCAGGCGGAGCGGCGGGCACCGGGCCCCCAGGCGGAGTGACAGGGCTCGGGCCCCCAGGCGGGGCGACAGGCATCGGGCCCCCAGGCGGGGCGACAGGCATCGGGCCCCCAGGCAGGGCGACAGGCATCGGGCCCCCAGGAGGGGCGACAGGCATCGGGCCCCCAGGAGGGGCGACAGGTCTCGGGCCCCCAGGCGGAGTGACAGGTCTCGGGCCCTCAGGCAGAGCGGCGGGCGCCGGACCCCCAGATGGAGCGACAGGTCTCGGGCCCCCAGGCGGAGCGGCGGGCGCCGGACCCCCAAGTGGAGCGACAGGTCTCGGGCCCTCAGGCGGAGCGGCGGGCGCCGGACCCCCAGGTGGAGCGACAGGTCTCGGGCCCCCAGGCGGAGCGACAGGTCTCGGGCCCCCAGGCGGAGCGGCGGGCGCCGGACCCCCAGATGGAGCGACAGGTCTCGGGCCCTCAGGCGGAGCGGCGGGCGCCGGACCCCCAGGTGGAGCGACAGGTCTCGGGCCCTCAGGCGGAACGGCGGGCGCCGGACCCCCAGGTGGAGCGACAGGTCTCGGGCACCCAGGCGGAGCGACAGGTCTCGGGCCCTCAGGCAGAGCGGCGGGCGCCGGACCCCCAGATGGAGCGACAGGTCTCGGGCCCTCAGGCGGAGCGGCGGGCGCCGGACCCCCAGGTGGAGCGACAGGTCTCGGGCCCTCAGGCGGAGCGGCGGGCGCCGGACCCCCAGGTGGAGCGACAGGTCTCGGGCCCTCAGGCGGGCGGAGCGGGCCCCCAGGGGCGCCGGACCCCCAGGTGGAGCGACAGGTCTCGGGCCCCCAGGCGGAACGGCGGAGCGAGGCACGACAGTGGGCAGGTCTCGGGCCCCCAGGCGGAGCGGCGGGCGCCGGACCCCCAGGCGGAGCGGGACGAGTGCGGGCATCGAGTCGTCTGGCAAGACTGCGGGCACCGAGTCGTCTGGCAAGACTGCGGGCACCGAGTCATCTGGCGGAACAGCGGGCACCGAGTCAACTGGCGGAACAGCGGGCATTGGTCAACTGGCGGGACTGCGGGCAACTGGCGGACTGCGGGCACCGAGTCGTCTGGCAAGACTGCGGGCACCGAGTCGTCTGGCAAGACTGCAGGCACCGAGTCATCTGGCAAGACTGCGGGCATCGAGTCGTCTGGCAAGACTGCGGGCACCGAGTCGTCTGGCAAGACTGCGGGCACCGAGTCGTCTGGCAAGACTGCGGGCACCGAGTCAACTGGCAGAACAGCGGGCACCGAGTCGTCTGGCAAGACAGTGGGCTCCGAGTCAACAGGCACGACAGTGGGCACCGGGTCATCAGGTATCGGATTGTCTGGCTCGACAGCGGGCATCGGGTCACCAGGTATGACAGCGGGCACTGGGTCACCAGGCATCAGGTCATTTGGCTTGCCAGCGGGCACTGCGTCATCTGGCAAGGCAGTGGGCACCGGGTCACCAGGTATGACAGCGGGCTCTGAGTCAATTGGCACGACAGCGGGCACTGGATCAGGTACCGGATCATCTGGATCAACAGCGGGCATCGAGTCAACTGGCCTAATAGGATCGTCGGGCTGGATCAGTTCATCATGCTGAGTAGCGGCATCAGGCCGAGTAGAGGCTTCAGGCTGAGTAGAGGCTTCAGGCTGAGTAGAGGCTTCAGGCTGAAGAGAGGCATCAGGCCGAGTAGAGGCATCAGGCCGAGTAGAGGCTTCAGGCCGAGTAGAGGCTTCAGGCCGAAGAGAGGCATCAGGCCGAGTAGAGGCATCAGGCCGAGGAGAGGCATCAGGCCGAAGAGAGGCATCAGGCCGAAGAGAGGCATCCGGCTGAAGAGAGGCATCCGGCTGAGTAGAGGCTTCAGGCTGAGTAGAGGCTTCAGGCTGAGTCACGGAAGGCAGGTTCACCGGTTTGGATACTGGCAGGATGGTATTGGTTGCAAAGAATTTTCGCTTTTTTCTGGTTTTAACTACTGGAGCACTGCAAGTAAACGCAGGTCTGCAAACGAATGGAGCAGCTGGAGACAGAGAAGAGCTGGAGGATGGAACAGGAGAGGGAGCAGTTGCTACAGAGGACTTTTTTACAGGGTTAAAGGCAGGATAGGTGCAGCGAGTGGGAACAGGGTACTGACATGCGGTAGATAGCCAAGTATACTGGGCTGTAACTGGAGGAGCTGGTGGGAATACAGGAGTAGAGTTAGAAGCAGGACTGAGTCTTTGTAAGCTGACTGAGGCTGGGTGCAACAAATCTGTCCATGTCTGCAGTAGGGGTTGAACAAAGCTGAGCTTACACAAAGCCTGTCTGGTCAATGACTGTACTGCGTTTATACAATCTCTTAGTGTCTGTGGTGAACATGTGGAATAACGCTCCAGAAAGTAACCCACATCATCCTCTAATAACCACACCAGGGACTCTACCTGGTCTGCACTAAATGGTGGCAAAAATTCATCCCTGCATTCGGGGGTACCAGATGAAACCAACTCAGCACAAACCTCAATCAATGGCTGCACCTCAGAGAACTCTGTGCCCTGATCTACTAGAACATGAGCGAGCCGTATACATTCTAGCAGTTCATCCCAGGGATACTCCTTCAGAGTTTGATAAGCATACTCCCTGTCATCAAACCCTAGCAGAGATAAATACACAACCTCATCCAGATCCATCCTTCCCAGCAACAAGCCAAGATGGCTTCCCTGTGCAGCCACTTCTGGTCAGGATTGGCCTTGGTGTAATGTCAGGGCTCCCAGGTATGACCAGAGGTGTGTGACTGACGCAGGGAAACGCAGACTTCAGATATGTGATAAACAATATAATTTATTAACACTAACAATACAAACATAAACGCAGTGCAATACTAAACATAATACAGTGCAAACAAACCAAACCAACCACCCACAGATAACAGTACATACAAGCAAGCGTCGTCAGGCAGGCCGGGTCAATATCAATTGGGCAGGTAGGTACAGGGGGAGCAAGCGGAGATTGGTCGGGGTCACAGGCCAGGTTCAGCAGGTAGCTAGCAGCGTAGTACAGAGGGTCAGGCAGAGGGATGGTCAGGGTCACAAGCTAGGGATCAGAACAGGTAGCAGGCAGCGTAGTACAGAGGGTCAGGCAGAGGGATGGTCAGACAAGCCAGGGATCAGAACAGGTAGCAGAGAATCAGACAGGAACAGAGAGCAGGAACAGGATACAGGGCCCAAGAGAAACACAACACCAAGGCAGAGTCTGCAAGTCTGGCCATCCCTTAAATACCCCAGCATAATCAGTTCCAGGTGTTAGCTGGCTGCAAAGTTGAGTCTCTGATTGCTGGGAGCATCCGCTGGCCAGCCCTGGTACTGCAGATCAAAAGGCAGGTGAGTCCCACCATTGCTGGCTAGTCCATTCCTGACAACTGGGGGACCAAAGCAGGAGAAGCTAGCAGATGTCACATGTAGTGTGCACCATGGGAGCAATATAGCAGGTGGTGAGCAGGGACTGGAGAGAGAGGAAGATCAGCAAACATGAGGATCAGCAGAGCTTGAAGCTACTTCTGAGTGTGGGATCAGCAGAGTTGGGGGTTACTAATGAGTGGGGGATCAGCAGAGTTGGGGGTTGCTACTGAGTGGGGGATCAGCAGAGCTGGGGGTTACTACTGAGTGGGAGATCAGCAGAGTTGGGGGTTACTACTGAGTGGGGGATCAGCAGAGCTGGGGGTTACTACTGAGTGAGGGATAAGCAGAGTTGAGGGTTATTAATGAGTGGGGGATCTGCAGAGTTGGGGGTTACTACTGAGTGGGGGATCAGCAGAGTTGGGGGTTACTACTGAGTGGGAGATCAGCAGAGTTGGGGGTTACTACTGAGTGAGGGATAAGCAGAGTTGAGGGTTATTAATGAGTGGGGGATCTGCAGAGTTGGGGGTTACTACTGAGTGGGGGATCAGCAGAGTTGGGGGTTACTAATGAGTGGGGATCAGCAGAGCTGGGGGTTACTGATGAGTGGGGGATCAGCAGAGTTGGGGATTACTACTGAATGGGGGATCTTCAGAATTGGGGGTTACTACTGAATGGGGGATCTGCAGAGTTGGGGGTTACTACTGAGTGGGGAATCAGCAGAGCTGAGGGTTACTACTGAGCGGGGAATCAGCAGAGCTGAGGGTTACTACTGAGCGGGGAATCAGCAGAGCTGAGGGTATTACTGAGCCAGAAATCTGCTGAACAAAGGTACTAATGAGCTGGGGATCTGTTGAATGGGGGTATTAATGAGCTGGGGGTATTACTTTGCCAAGCTTAAATAAAGCTACAAAAAAGGCATCACAGAAGCACCGAAAACATAGTCCTTACACCCCTTGCAGCACTGGGGTTCTCAGTTACACTGTGCTTGCATGTGTTTCCTTCTGCACTTCAAAATGATTGGGTTAATTGTCTCGTATCTAGATTTACCCCAGTGTATGTATGCATGTGATATAAGAACCTTAGATTGTAAGATCCTTGGGGACAGGAACTAAATGTAAAGCGCTACGTACAATAAATTGTTGGCACTTCTAAAATAAAAGTTATAGAATCATTTATTCCAAGCGCATGCACTTGTTTCGGGGTTTTTTGGCCATCATCAGTGCAGTGTAAATCATGGCTTCTACTGGGTAAGGGTTTGGAATCCAATGGGCCATTAAACCCCAGAGGTTATGGTGAGAAGATACCAAAACGAATCAAAAGTCCCTCCAACCAAACCACTGCCTATGGGTATAGAAAATACATTACATGGCATACACTGTGGCACAGTAAACGTGACATTTGGGGCTCTCGTAGAATCCATGTAATCAGAAGTGACGGGGCCCCGGGGCACTAGGCAGTCACAGTCCTTATGTACATTTTGCCAGCATGGTCTTCCGCCCATTTGAACCTCTGCACCAGCCAAGAAAAGCATTCCTAAATGATATCAACTGTTTAAATTCCATTCTGAAATATTTTCACATGAGACTCGGCTGCCTGGGATGGTGACATCCATGGTGTCCCTGAAAATTTTAGGAACATTTCCAAAGTCGGGGGTTAATGTACCTCATTAACCCACCATCCTCCGCAATGAGAGTACTTTCCGTCATACCCCATGTCTCTGCATTAATACATGATATTGCCAAAAGTATTGGGCCCGCCCTCCTAATCATTGGATTCAGGTGTTCCAATCCCCTCCATGGCCATAAGTGTATACAATCAGCCCCTAGACATGCAGACTGCTTCTACAAACATTGGTGAAAGAATGGGTCGCTCTCAGGAGCTCAGTGACTCCAAGCGTGGTCCCGTGATAGGTGGCCACCTGTGCAATAAGTCCATCCGTGACATTTCCTGGCTACTAAATATTCCACGCTCAACTGTTAGTGGGATTATAACAAAGTGGAAGCAACTGGGAACAACAGCCACTCAGCCACCAAGTGGTAGGCCACGTCACATGACAGAGCGGGGTCAGCGCATGCTGAAGCGCACAGTGCGCAGAAGTCGCCAACTGTCTGCAGAGTCAATAGCTAAAGACCTCCAAACTTGGTGTGGCCTTCAGATGAGCCCAACAACAGTGCGAAGAGAGCTTCATGGAATGGGTTTCCATGGCCGAGCAGCTGCATCCAAGCCTTCCATCACCAAGTGCAATGCAAAGCGTCGGATGCCGTGGTGTAAAGCACGCCGCCATTGGACTCTAAAGCAGTGGAGACGTGTTCTCTAGAATAATGAATCACACTTCACTGTCTGGCAATCCAATGGACATGTCTGGGTTTGTCATTTGCCAGGAGAATGGTACTTACCTGACTGCACTGAGCCAAGTGTAAAGTTTAGTGGAGGGGGGATTATGGTGTGGGGTTGTTTTTCAGGGGTTGGGCTTGGCTCCTTTGTTCTAGTGAAGGAAACTCTTAAGGCGTCAGCATAACAAGACATTTTGGACAATTTCATGCTCCCAACTTTGTGGGAAGAGTTTGGGGATGGCCCCTTCCTGTTCCAACATGACTGCACACCAGTGCACAAAGCAAGGTCCATAAAGACATGGAGGAGCGAGTTTTGGGTGGAGGAACTTGACTGGCCTGCACAGATAGACCAGG